TTATCCTAATCGTTAGGAATTGAAAAGGTGTAATTAAAATAATTACTATTTACATGGAATTTGAAATTTAAAAATGCTGCACATAAGAATGGGTTTCTACATAAGCTCACGTATCTATTTAATTAGACCACTATATCCGTCAATTATGCATATTTTAAAACCAAAAGAAAAAGATGGAAATATTAAGAGCATTAAAATTAAGCAAATTGGTTTATAATAATGTTGTTACTATCATAACGAAGAAAGCTTTCTTACTGCTAGTCTATTCTTTAGCAATAGAAAAATACATTTATTGATTCTTTGTTTATTGGTTTCTTCTTATTATTATTTTAAAACTGAAAACAATATTTAACAAATATATTTATTTTTTTCTATTTTTATTTCATTAAATTCCTACTATAAATAATTAGTTCCTAAAACTTAATGACACGCCTGAGCTTTTATAGAAAGACACGTTTTTACCCGCCGCTTGGCTCGTGTTGATGTCTCAAATACGTGTTCAACATTACCGAAAATACAATAATTTTATAAATAGTCCTGACTAGGATTATCAGAATAAAACTAAAGTTTCTATCGAGATGAAAAGAACTTTTTTTTTCTGTCCTTCGGGAACAGTATTTTTTTTTCTGGATAAAAGTACCCTATATTCTTTTCTATACTGCTGACAATGTGTGTACAAAATTTTATGATGATTGGTTGAGTAGTGAAAGCGTGAAGTGGTAATAAACAAACAAATAATTTTAGTTAGCATTATCACAATTAACAAATTAACGGTTTTCCGAAATTTATATTCTACAAAAGTGTTAATTTTGCTGAACAAATGCACTGGAAGTTTTGCAAGTACCGAGTAAAACCGGGAACCCTCAGTAGTTCTGTTGTGCACCCGTCAGCGTCTATATCACATCAGTGTAAAATTTTGTTCTTTGGATTTTAATAGAAAATATATTTGAAGTTATTAACAAATACAATTGTAAAATTCAAATGAAAAAGAAATATATAGGTAGAATGCGCGAATAATAATAATGCATAAATTTACCTACTGCGTTTGAAAATTAATACGCATTTCTAATTTAAATGTAATAAGAAAATAATTAATTGATTTTAATGTATTTTAAAGATACATTATATGAAACTTCTGTACGCATAACGCTATTTTACAATATTTTTTTATATTCATTTCACTGAAAATTCATGTTGGTTTTTATTACAGTGATGTTAATATGTGCCCCCTTGCTATTGCGAAACTGACCTTCCTACTTTAATCTAATAATTTATAAACTGATGTAAAATTTATTTAATGCTACATGTTTTTCGAATTATTAATAATTAAAAATTATGTTTTCCTTAAATATTAAAGAAGGTAAGTACGGAATTCTTTCTATAATATATGGGAATCAAACACAATAGAAAACAATAAAAATGCATAGTCGAAACTCGATTTATTTTCTAGGATTAATCAATTTATATTTTTGAATTTTATTATTATATACATAGATAAACGCTTGATTAGAGATAGGGGTTAATTAAAACAAGTAAGTTCAGATTTTCACGGAAAATTTAGGAATGATACGGATCTCTTAACATCATTTAGTTTGAAGCAGTTTCAATTGCGATCATGATGAAATTTAGTTACCCACTTACAGACCTGTTGGTAAACCTATCTATGGAGACATGGAAGTGGTTCAAGGGAGGACACTAACGATTATTTTTTCCACTGTACATACACAGGGTGTATTGTTAGTTGTTTGCACAAGTAATAATCATTAGGCTGATTTGTTTAAATCCCAGATTAAGTTTTATCTCAAGTAAATGACAATGGGTAAATGGTGAATGCTTACAATGCTTGTATCAACGGCACCCCGCTGGTAATACTAACGAGGGTAATTATAGGTGAGGATTTGCATTCATAAATGGGAAGTATATAATTGTTTCCCCTTGCTACCTGATATTTCCACCTCAGGGTCGATTCATGTTTATTTCAGTCAAGTAATAACTGCATTCTTGTTAGTGTCTTTCACGTTATTTACGGGAAATCGTTGTTGAGGGCAAAATTAAAGGTTCTGAACTATTTCGAGGGGTCTCAAGTTAGAAGGGCGTATCAACCTTCTTGTCAAAATTGAGACATCTTGCGTTTGAATTACTTTTAATGTAATTGGGATGAATTGTAAGTTACGAAATAGTTCAATCACTTTTCAAAACTACCCTAAATAAATGCAATTCATAAGCGTGGAGACCCTTAACAAAAATATGCAACGTAATGTCGTAGGTAAATGTAGCAAAAGTTGAATTCTGTTCTAATAAAAACTTACATATCTGTTTATCATTTATAATTAGTTCCTGATGGTTTATTAACAAATGTGTCACAAATGAGTGGGTAGCACCTAATAACTCTAAAAAGTATCTAAGTACGTATATATTAATAAAATCAATTTATTACCCAAAAAGAGCA